CACACGTTTTGCTTGCTGAAGGAAGGAAGGAAATTGTTAAAAGGAGAAAAGTCTCTGTACACATCTCTAGCAAGGAGATGTAGTTGTAACTTTGTTAGTGCCATGATGTTAGAGAGAAAAGGGGGTAAGATAATTTCTTCTATTTTTGAATCAGCCTTTGTTGGTGAGAGACAAGCATTGGAGCTACAAAGACATGAATAAGAGCTTTGTGTGTCTTGAAAGTTTTTCTTTCACCAACAGAAGTTGGTCCAATAAAAGATACTACCTCTCCCACCTTATTTCTTTCACAAATTAGAGGCATAGCAGGGAAAGTGTTAAGTATTGCATGGTGGTCTAAACTGGTTCTGAAGCATGCAATGTTAGTAAAAAAATATCAGTGACTACACTGGCTCCTTTATTGGTGCTAATAATGCTACAGCAGTGATAGAAGAGCAGTAGGTGGATTTCAAATTTTTTTTGGCATAGATGTAACCTCTGGTGCTTCGTGTCTTAAAAATGTTTTTTGGCATAGCTGTATTATATGTATATTACCTAACCCTCATAGGAGATACTTTGTCAGTATAGCTTAAACTGTTTACCTGCCAGCACACTCTGTATAGGCAAAAGGCCTTCTTTGCCGGTATAACTGTGCCTACATTAGGGCTTTTACTAGCATAGCTATGTCAATTGAAATGGGGGTGAAATTGCACTCCTGACTGGCACTCCTGTCCTGGCACACTTTAAAACTGTATACCAGACTTAAGGCTTGGTGAGTTTCAATTGCTCACATGTTTCCAATTTATTGCAGAAATAGACTATTCCCCTGTAATTTATCTAAAACAAGTAATTTAATCTTTCTCTGCCTTAATTCCCTATCTGTAGTAAATGTGAATAATACCTTCCTATCTCATGGAAGTGCTCTGAGGATGAACTGAAATAATGTATGTGAGGTGTTCAGAGACTCAGTCATATAAGTACATGTCCAGCTTCCTTTTCCTTTGCTTGCTGTCTGTACTTCTGGCTATGTTTGTCACCTTGCGAGGGTCCCAAGTGAATACAACTCCACATTCTCGGTGCACTTGCCACTTTTATGTCAGCCACTTTTATGTTCAGTGGTTAAAAGGGTTAGGTGCTCCTATTATTCAGATCTGAAAAAGCATTTCCTCTAATTAGATCTAGAATGTAACTATAAAAATATATGGAGATTTATTGTCAGCTCAGCGTGGTAGTCTGGATGCGCAGGGGTCGACATCAAAGGCATTTGTTGACCACCCAGGTATGCCTCCTGGGATGAGGTTTACCTGGGTGGTCGACAAATGCCTTTGATGTCGACTCCCGCGCGTCCAGACTACCGTGCTGAGCCAACAAACAGCTGATCAGCTCAGCGCGGCAGCCATGTAAATTTAAATGAAGCAGCGATTATTTAAATCGCCGCTTCATTTTCCTATTCCTGGTAGCCTAATCTACATGCCTCTGGCGACAGAGGCATGTAGTCTAGACGTACCCTAATTCTAAAACAACTGGACTAAATGTCTGTTCTCTGTGTTCTCTGTGAGAGACATTTAACTGAAGCCAGAACTCAGAAACTGGAGAAATGGATGGGATCCATTCATTGCCATTAGCTACTTACAAATATTTTATACATAGTTTCTTGAAAAAATGTTTTGAGGAAGCAATGTAGGTGTTCAGAGCCTTGATTTTTTTTCTAAGCTAGTTGCATGAGTTTCTTATACATATTTTATTTAAACTAGGTATTGTATGTGAGATCAAACTTTGCTGTTTTTTTTCTCTCCTCAGGATGAGTTTTTAGATGTGATCTACTGGTTCCGACAGATCATTGCAGTTATTTTGGGAGTCATCTGGGGCATAGTTCCGCTCAAGGGATTTCTGGGAATAGCAATGTAAGGTTTCTGTCCTCTTACCTGATAAGTGTGTCTTTTTTCAGATGTGTATCTCTAGTCTATTTTAAAATAGCAAAGCAGTGTGGTGATGAGAATGCATTAAAGTCTGACATTCATTAAATACTGTATCATGGGCCAATTGGCACCTGTAATTCTCTCCCTCCTCCCCCTTTATGAATAGTCTTTTGTTGTTGTGTTTTCCTTTAACAACATTTTCAGATTTATTGGAGAAGTGTTCCAGTTTCTGTCTTTTAGAGCAGTGATTCTGAATATTTTACATACTGTGGCTTCCTTTCCCCTATACTGAGACTCTGGCCCATGTAACTGGAATCTGTATGGGTGGTTATGACCTCAGTAATTGTTTGCAGCTTCCAAGCTGAGCATCTTTGTTGTAGAATGTGTTCTGAACAGTCCCAGTGGGGGGGTGTTTTCCTTTTGAAATAAAAAAGTGACCCATCTAACAGCAGAGAATGTAAACTATATCAAGGAAAATATCTTCTTGGGGGGACTTCTGCTGTTCTCTCATTCCTTTCACAAGAGATACTATTTTACCAAAAGCTGTACTTTCGGTATCATTGTAAGGGGAAGGGACATCCAAAATAATGTCTTTCATTTATATCTGTGCACATGTATAGTAAAACCTCGGCTCTTTCTAGCTTTATGTGATCCTTGTTTTCTTCTTAGCTAAGACATCACAGTGTTATAGTGAGCACAGTAAATATTAAACATTACACACAGCTTTCCAAACACATGGACTGTGTCTACATTGGCATCCCTTTCCAGAAAAGGGATGCTAATGAGACACATCGCAATTGCAAATCAGCGGGGGATTTAAATATCCCCCGCGGCATTTGCATTTACATGGCTGCCGCTTTTTTCCAGCTTGGGGATAAACCGGAGAAAAGCGCCAGTCTAGACGTGATTCTCCGGAAAATAAGCCCTTGAAAGTAGGAATAAGAGATCCTCCGGAAAAGGGTTTATTTTCCGGAGAATCACGTCTGCAAATACCACGGGGGATATTTAAATCCCCCGCGGATTGGCAATTCCGAAGTGTCTCATTAGCATCCCTTTTCCGGAAAGGGATGCCAATGTAGACACAGCCATGGAGTTTGTACAGTTTATCAGCTACCTGTGAGTTAAAGGACAAGCCTACTAGACCAAAGTAAATACAAAAGATGTCGGGGCCCCAGAGGCAGTGCTTCAGGTGTTGAATAGGGGTAGTACTGGGATTTCGTATAGGGTGCTGTCTCATTTCTGATGAACTCCATATACGTATGTGCCTGTGGCTAGTTGAGGTCCTCAAGCTTTACACTTCCCTAAGTGCTGAGAGGGAAATTTTCTTTCTCCTCTCAACATCTTAGCTATGGCAAGGGGAAAGGAAGGAGGCCTCTGGTTCTCTACTCTTCTAGAACAATTTTGACCAAGGAGCTTGTTGTACTCATGTTTTTCCCGGCAGCAGCAGTGTGACATTGATACAGTTCTGGAGAGTTTCATTGTTGCCCATGTGGTTCATAACAGTAGCACTGAACCTAGTCTTGTCAATGCCAATGTAAAACTGGCCGGGAAAGCTCTGAGCAGCAGGCTCTGGAAGAAAATGCTGCATCGTTTTGCATCTTGAAATTATCTTCAACTCTGAGGGCTAGAAATTCTTTGTCTTACTGGAAGCTTAAATTCTGCAGAAATTAGGGGAGAGCCTCAGGGAATGCTTTATATGAACTAGTAGAGATGTGATTTTTTTTGTTTAGTCCCTGTTGTAACTAGTTTTGTTTTAACTATTATAACAGATGAGAAATACACTGTGTTCTTGCTTGTGTTCATTTACTAATTCAGTGGGTCTTTCCGCTAAAAATGCATTTAAAAATGTAACTCTTAAAATCCTCGTGGTTACACACACTATGAGCTCTGCGGTATAAAGCTTATTTAAGCTTTATACTACAGAGCCTGCAGTGCAGCCTCCCTGGGAGCAGTGTGTAACCTGGGGGGTGGGGAGAGAAGCTGGGCTTACCACAGGCAGGGGCTGCTCCAGTGGGCCTCACAGGGCTGGAACAGCCCTCTGCCCGAGGTGGGCGGGGAGCTGCTCCAGCCCCTACTGGTTAACTGGAACTGGTAAGGACGGGGCTTTCTTTTTCAGCTCTTGGTGTAAATAAGTTCCTGTGTGGAAGGTTATAAACGTAACTGAAATTGATATTTTGTAAACAGTGGAATCTTCAACTCTGGGGAGCTTGTATTTAACAGTTTAATGTGCCAGAAACATTAATGCAACTATGACTATTGTGGGTTCTCTGGTCAATATTGTGCATCTTCTGTTTTAAGAGCAACATGAAATCCAAGACTCCTAAGTGTATCTGGCCCAGAATTCCAGTCTTTTCTCACCCTCAGCCTTTCACCCCACACAGCTCTCCTTGCAGGAAGTGCATTGTTTGAAGGCAAGTTTTCACTTCCCAGTTTGTCCCAGCCCTGGCCTCAGACCAGATCTAACTTTGCACTGGAGCTTGTGTGAACTCTGGGGCAGTCTAGGACAGTCCTAATGGCTGCTTAAAATTGCACACTAGTTGTGATGGCCTTTGGGGCTGCAGGAGCACAGAATATCCAGACCTGCCCAGGCTACGTCAGGTTC